CACACACACACACACACACACACACACACCCACCCACCCACCCACCCCAGGGAGTCAAGACCCATAGGTTGAGAACCACTGTTCTAGGACTTGAAAAGTAGAAATGTAAAGAAAACCGAAAGATAGGAGCCACTCATCAAGAGATGAGGACAGCATCTGCTAACTTCTTAGAGAACTATCAGAAGGCCCACAAGGCAGAGCTTGATTCACCAAGACGGTAAAGGTCTTCAGAGACCATTATGTTCAACGTGCAGGCCTTTGTGTAACTGGGTTCCTTAAGCGTGACACCTAGACCTCTGTGAGACACTAAGAGGATTGGGTGGTTCCGTGACAACCTTTATTTCTATCTATATTGGATGGAAAACTTGCTTTGTTTAGTGAGTTAATGTAAAGAAAAATATTAAGTAGCTATTAGTACAGATGGCTACCAGGTATTGAAGGTGATAAAGCAGATAAAGGAAACACTTGTGTTACTAGAAATACGCATACATGCTGGGTATGGTAGTACACACTTGCCATCCCAGCACTTTAGAAACTAAGGCAGGGCTTAGTTTCTAAAGCCAGCCTGGGCTACACAGTAAATTTTGTGTCAGAAAAAAAAAAGAAAAAAAAAAATCACACCCTGGGCTCAAGAGATGGTCCAGTAGGCTGAAACAGGCATGCATGCATCACACACCAAAATAACACAAATGTCTACTCTGTGCCTAGTAACAGCCATGTGCATGTTTATAAATTTAGACTCAAGTATCTCTGAGTGTGTAGTGTGTGTCCGTGTGTGTGTCGATGTTGGGTCTCTTCCTCAGTCTCCACCTTTTTGTGGGCATATGTGGGAGTCAGTTTGCTTCCTCAGTTTCTTTTCTGCCTTACTTTGAGATAGAGTTTCTCTGAACTTAGAACTTGCTGTTTTAGCTAGAGCCTTCTGAAATCTGCCACAACCAGCATTTCCTTAATGCTGGCTGGGATCCAGATTTAGATCCTCGTGCTTGCCTGGCAAACCCTTTATCAAGTGAACCCTCTCCTAGCCTTGAAATCAAGTTGTTGTTTTTTCTATAACATTAGTTTGGGTCTTTACCATTTTTAATGTAATAAACCATAAGTACTGCCTGGAAAACAAAATATTGCTAGAGAAGATGGTGATAAGCTAATTTTTCAGGTGGATATTTTCATTAATTTTAACAGCTGTGATAAAGATACCACCTATTTACAGTTCAGCATTTATCAGATGTCTGCGGTCATTACTGGAGAGTGGAATATTTGGCAGAATTTCAAGTGCTGTCATCACATGCAGGCTTCACATGGATCCCAGGGCTAAAAGAGATATGGACATATATTGTTTGTGTTCTAACCAAACCTCAGACTCGAATCATCCCTTAGTACAGTGGTTCTCAATCTTCCTAATGCTGCAACCCTTTGTTAATACACTTCCTCATTTTGTGACCTCCAACATAAAATTATTTTGTTGCTACTTCATAACTAATTGTGCTACTGTTACAAATCACAGTGCAGACATCTGATATGCAACCTGTGAGAAGGTCGTTCAGGTGCCCAACCCGGGGTTGTGACCCATGGGTTGTGAATCCTGCCTTACTAACTTTATGGAGACAACATTTCAGCTGGCTGAGTCTTCTGTCTCTGTGTGGTTCTAACTGTGGACCTGCCCTACTCCCCTGATACTGAGCAAGTCCACTTGCTAGGACATTGAAGACCACACTTGATAACTGCTTCTTAACATGGTTGTGGTTACCGGCTACCTAATTTCTAGAATATTTCCTTCATTCCAGATTATGATGATGGCTTTTCGATGAAGCATACAGCCACCGCCCGTTTCCAGAGAAACCACCGCCTCATCAGTGAGATCCTCAGTGAGAGTGTGGTGCCTGATGTGCGGTCGGTTGTCACAACAGCTAGAATGCAGGTCCTCAAGAGACAGGTCCAGTCTTTAATGGTTCATCAGGTAAGGGCAGAAGAGCTTTTGTTATAATAAAAGGAAGCTGTGCCACACATCCCAGGTGACATGGCTCTGACACAGTGTGTAAGTAAACCTGTGAAGTCGTGTCATCCGTGCCTGACTTGAGAAAGAAGCTTAAGGGAGAGGGCCATTCCAGATGTTTAGTAAGTTTGTCATTGAAAATTGTAATATAACATTGTAGTGACAAGTATATCTTTTAAAAGATGGGTGCAAACTGAAGAATTTGGGGGCACCCCATCAGCCTTTGCTCTATTACTATAAAATGATTTTCCCAAAGAATTTACTCATTAACATAGTGTTAATGGTAGTCTTTCCCTGTGTTACATTTTTAAAATAATAGCTAGATTTTATACTAGATGATTTTTTTTAATGCAAAATTAGTGGGCTAGAGAGATGGCTTAGTGGTTAAGGGCATATACTGCTCTTCAGAGAACCTGAGTTCAGTTCCCAGAACCTGTGTGAGGTGACTCACAACCACCTGTAACTCCAGCTCCTGGGAACCCAACACCCTCTTGTGGTCTCCCTGGGCACCTACTCTTGTGTATATACCACATACACATAATTAAAAATACAAAAGTGTACTTTAAAGCATAAGCTAATTTTAAAATGACATTCTCTGTGTGCTTTACATCTGCCTTAGAGAAAACGTATAATGGTTCATAATCTGGTCTGATACCTTGCAGCGAAAACTAGAAGCTGAACTCCTTCAGATAGAGGAGCGACACCAGGAAAAGAAGAGGAAATTCCTGGAAAGCACGGATTCCTTTAATAATGAGCTTAAAAGGGTACCTATTCCATTCACTGACTGCCTTTATCATGTGCCTGTTACGTCACAATGTAACTTGTACTGTCTTTATAAAAGTGTTCCCATTTTCTGGAAAAATTACAATAAATTTGAGGTATCGTGTAGTATACATTTAAGGAGTACGCCCACAGACAATAGAGCCCGCTAATGCTTTTGTTTAAAATCTTTACATCGTGAATTATTTTCACTTTATTGTAATTTATTCATAGATGTTTTCATTAGAACTGTAGTTCAGTTAGGGGTGGTGCTATGTACCTTTGATCCCAGGTAGAGGTAAGAGAATCTCAGTGAGTTCAGGGCCAGCCTGGTCTACTTAGAGAGACCCTGTCTCAAAAAAAAAAAAAAAAA